CAAAACAGTAATTTATACCAATTTTTTAAATGCTTCTTTTAAAAAAGGAGTATGAAAGGGAAGAAATTCTAGAAAGTTATCAGCACAGAATCATGAAAAAACATTTTAAGCATCTATTGAAGAACTATAATATTAAGACATTTGCCACAATACAGGTTTTAGTGTGTGCAAAAATCTATTTGTCGACCAGCTGTGACAGACTCTTTAAAGCATGTCCAAGGCAATGATAAATGAAGTACCCATTTTTGCCAAACTCTCTGATTTGGATTTAGTATTAAGGGAGTTTTAATGAGTAATCCTATAAGAAATGCAATTGTATCTAATTTTCACATATGTAAAATTTTGGTGGGGAAGGGATCTTCTTTGAAAATGATCAATTCTTTGTCCTTATTTTGTTTTCTTTTTCCTCATTAGTCTAGGGAAGAGAGGGTCAAGAAACTCTGCCATGAGGTCCTAGTGACTCCTGTCCACTGCTGTAGGGGGAGTGTGCCTCCCACTTTGATCTGGGAGGTACATGGAGACTCAGATTCAGAAATGCAAAATGGAGAGGCAGAAACATTTATTCTTGAATGGACCTTTGTCTAGAGGAACAGGCCTTACACATGAGTGAAAGGGCTGAAGCAGGACCCGCAGGGAGCCATCCCCCACATGACCCATGAGTGTCCCCAGTGCTCAGCAGTGACGAGGGAATGAGAAAAATAAAGACAATAGAAACAGTAGAATTTATAGAGTGGGCCCGGAGGTCAATGCCCTTTGTGGGAGACACAGTGAGGACCTCAAGCTCCAGATGCACTTGGTTTTTTTATTAATTTGATCAGTTAATGGGTGTTTGCAGCAACAACAGACATCATCTTTGCAGTTTCTCCTGCCCTAATTCTGGATTACTCACCCAATAACCCTTTCGCTATTTCTATTACTTTTACTTCTTAAGATACTTATCAATCACAAATAAGATTACAGAAAACAAAGGAAAGGGGAGCATGGACTTGGAGCTAGGTGCCACCCAGTTAATCCTTTGTTTCCTGCGGGCAGATTAGTTGATGCCTTACTCATCTTCAGGAGCTGGGAGGAACAAAGCTGAATCCTCTTCTCTCGCACCCTTAAGAACTAATCTTATTTGCTCATTGAGTCAGCTGCACGTGTTGTCCTAAAATGGCTTCCCAAGCCTTCTCAGGCCCCCAGCCGGGCCCTTGTGGAACTTTTCCTGAAGTCCTTTAATGTTCATGCCAAGCTGTCTCATGAAAGTATAGTGTGTTCTTTTTGGAGGCTCGTGTCCTCTCCCATTCTCCTGCATACCTGACACTGATCACACCACCTTTCGTACAATCGGTCTAACTCTATTTCCACAATCCTAACTTCCCTGATGTTCACCCACAAGGACCCAGTCCACAGGGGCACAGGGGAGTGAAGAAGAGAGAAAAGCATGATGCAGCGATTCGAACCTCAATTCTTAGGTATGGGGCATCAGAAGATTGGACGACTTCCAGGAATTTCAGGTCTGGAGCCTCCAGCTAACTAAAACCATGTTAGCCAATTTGCTACTAGCATTGATACCTCATCTAACCAAAACTCTACTACGTCTAGGGAAAGGTGGGGAAACTACAGAATTCTGGGTCGCCAATCACAGTCAGCTGGTGAGCTGGGTTAATGCTGTCTACAGTGCAGGTTGGGAGGCCTCTTGTTTTATTATTTAACATAAATTATTGGATGGAAAAAAACATTTTTCATTCCCCTTATTTCTTTTTTATTGCAGTTTTTTGGCCGGGGCTGGGTTTGAACCTGCCACCTCCAACATATGGGGCCAGCGTCCTACTCCTTTGAGCCACAGGCGCCACCAATGAAAAAACATTTTTAACTAAGAAAAAAAAAAAACTCAATAATGAAAAATAGAAAAAATATGATTCCTATCCAAAATCAAGCATATAGGTATCTGAAAGGTATATCTATTAAACGGATATGGCACAGCAATTTTAAATAGTCTAGAAATGTTGAATTATAGTAACCATGAGCAGTGCTTTCCGAACAGCTCTAATTCTGAAATGAACATTCTTTGTATTTGATGACACTAATTCAGCCTTTTTTGTGGTTGATGCTATAAATGTTACGGAAATTATGTACTGCCCATGTTCATTACCTAAATTTCACATAATAATAGGTTTGTATAAATTAATTTTTCCCTAAAATAGATAAAACAATTACTCCTTTTTATGGCTTAATCACTTGACAAATTCCATTTTACACAAGTCTTAGATTTGGTATTGTCAACTTTTCATTTTAATTTTCAAAAAGACTTTAAATTTTTCAATAACACTTTTCAGGTACTTTGAATGCTTTGTTCAAGAGAATAATGCTATAAATAGTTATATTTGAGGATGTCATCACAAAGGTCTATTAACTCAATTAAACAGTACTAGTTAGTACTGGCTAAACCAGCTCTTACTCTAGGCCCCTGGAATGGAAGGGTTAGGTGAAAGGAAGTTAAAGTTTTCGTCCCTCTTTCCAGGCACAAAACTGGCCCTAAGTAGGTATCTGAACACCAAACCCTAACCACCAGACCACCAGAGAGCTCTAAGCAGGTATTTGAAATAGGCAAAGGGAACGCTGGTGTAATTCCTACCTCCTTTCCCAGTACATACTTCTTTTGTAATTTCTAACAGTTTTAAGGTCTTCTTGCATCTTCCATTGTGTTATACCATCTTGATGTGCCTTGATCTCCCCACATGTCCCATATTTCAAAATTTAAGATCCTCCTCCCACCATCACCTGATGTCAGCAGAAAATAAGAATGTAATCTGTTTCAAAAGTATAAGTAAAAGGATATATCCAGTCCAGGCACAGTGGCTCATGCCTGTAATACTAGCACTCGGGAAGGCCGAGGCAAGTGGACCACCTGAGGTCACAAGTTTGAGACCAGCCTGACCCAGAGCAAGATCCCACCTCTAAACATAACCAGGCGTTGTGGCAGGCACCTATAGTCTCAGCTAGTCAGGAGGCTGAAGCAAGAAAATCACTTGAGCCCAAGAGTTTGAGATTGCTGTGAGCTATGATGCCATAGCACTCTACCAAAGGCAACAAAGTGAGACTCTGTCTCAAAAAAAAAAGGATGTATCGAAATCTTTTATTTAAAATTAAAAGTACTTGCTTCTGCAGCACATACACTAAAATTGGAATGATACAGAGAAGTATGGCCCCTACACAGGGATGACACACAAATTGGTGAAGCAGTCCATATTGTAATAAACAAATAAATAAGTAAAATTAATTAAAATTTTTAAATAGCATGACTACTAGCTTAAATAAATTTATAATTATGGGAGCTTAAGTAGTATATGAAATTAAAAGCAACATTTAAAAAAGACAGACTATAAGGAAAGTATTTGGATGCATAAGGCGCCTCTTTTAAGAGGACTAGCACTAAGCTTTTTTACTTTCCTAGAATTTCTTCTTCATTCCTAAACATACAGATTCTCAAAATCTCCTGGTAACTTCATAATTGACCCTAAAAATTGCAAGAGAAATTTACAACAATATCTACTCACATATACGAATGATCCTAGAAAATGAGGTTTTGATAAGACTCATATGTGTTTGGTTAAAAGAAATTTTCTTTTGATAAGCTGCATAATATTGTTCTTTCATAATCCAGCATTGGTAGTATCAAGGCTGGGGTAGATATAAACAGTTACTTCCAGAAGATGTAACCATTTCAATATGGTATGGTCTTCATCAAGATTCTCCAGTGATTCTCTATTGTTTGTTACATCAAGTTTAAACTCTTCAATGGGATATAGGTGGTTAAGAAACAGAACAGGAAAATTGACACATTTTATGGAAAACCCACAGAACTATGTTGAAGAGCTATAGGCCATCTTCTTCCACAAAGCCCTCTAATAAAGTCAAGATGAATAAATAACAATAAACTCTTACACTAATAATGTGACACAGTCTAACATTTAATTTTCATGTTTTCTTGAATTATTCTACATGTGTTTCATATATTGGTCTTATTACCTGAGTAGACAATGGAAGCAAACAAGTAGATTATGAAAGTCTTAGGGTGGATTTGCCTCATTTCTGTCTGGGGTCCCATATTAGTTATTAATAGTATACTACACTCTTTCATTATCAAAAGGGTACTGGTTTGGATGCTGTGTTATATAATCAGTTATCCTTAAAGTGTCAGACCATGTCTTAAGTTTCTTTGCTCACATCAGGTACCTACTATATCCTGAGTAAGAATTTTGATGTGTTCAACCAAACTCCAAATTCATTATGGAAACATTATTTTCTTGGCTACAGTCTCATGGCTCTCTGTACTTTTCAAAATTAGCAATTATCATACTTAATAATTAGTGAAGAAGTTGTTGAATGTCTGTATCTGCATCTGATTTTACTATGTGCAGCGGCACTCAATGAGGAGTGGTGATTCTGCTCCCCACTCCCAGTGGACATCTAATGATAAATGGAGACGTTTATGGTTACTGCTAATGGGGATAAAGAAGTGGAGGCTTCCATCATCTAATAACTAGAAGCCAGGGATGCTGCGAAAGGACAGCCTCTAATGACAAAGAATTATTGGACTCAAAAAGGCTAGGGTTAAGAAACTCTATTCCATGAGAGCATGACTGACAATCTCCCTACAGAGCAGCTTAATATGTACGAACTAATTAATAAATACTTGTTAAGTTAATAAATGAATACATCATTCAAGATCCTTTTAATTCTTCTCATACGGCACCTTCTTGCTTCATGCCTGCCTTTGTCCCACTTGTAAACCCACCTGAAACACCAGAAACTAAGGGTTAAAGGTATATCTCTGAAAATGCCCCAATAATTAGTATATCGAAGATTAGCTAATAAGAGAGAAAACCTATTAGCTAAATGAACTTCTCATTAATCATGCTCTTTGTGTTAACAGAAATATAAATTGAATTACAAAGGAAACTCTTCAGTATTCTCCATAATTATTTTCTCAAATAGCACAATTTTATTATATTAGTAACAAGCTTTGCTTTTTGTTATTAGGTAAACTCAGAACACAGCAAAACATATTCATAAAGACCAGAATAAAAGTCTATGACTCACCACATCATCAAAGATGGACAGTTACTACAACACTAAAAGAACCCCTTATTATAAGGCATTTTCACCTATAAGCTTGAAGCATAAGGCTAAAGAACCCTAACATACACATTTAAAAGGTAAAGGCCCTTCTTTTCCTCCTCACGTCATTAGACATGGCCATAGGAGTTTGGAATCTGCAGGCACTGTATGGGGCAGCTAGACGAAGGAGTCAAGTCCAATCAAGGAAGTGACCACAAAGAGTAGTGGCCAACATGACTGAAAGACTGGTTAGAGGACCACTCTCCATATACATACTATTGCATATGACTGGACCCCACTTTCTCACTGGAAGTTACAAAGATAGAAAGGGTGAAGTGAGAATGAACCTTTGGTGTTAGGAGTAGAGATATCAGTGCAAATCCAGTTTTCAATATACAGATGTGAAAATGAATATAAGTGTTGTAAATGTGTGCATACACCCATGTATTTCCTAATGCTTTTTAATGAAAGGACCTGAGAACAATGACACTCAATACAAGAAACACAATTAGTACCCAGATTTTGGGTTCTAAATATCATTCTCTACACAACGAAGGATTCCCTGAAAAATAGAATCATGATTCCCTGGAAAATAACTGATTCCAGGGCTGGGGCAGGGATATTGCCTAGAATATCTCATTGTGCAAGAGACAGGAGATGGTCAAAGAATGATGAAAGACATATTAAGGTACATAGAAATTTAAAAAGAATCCCACTTGCCAAGTCTAGGACACAAACTCATCTGACTGACTTTGTGAAAATCTACATTACCTTACCTGGCACTCATCAAGTTCCCACTGAAAATGTGCAGGTGCATTTCGCAGAAAGTTTGTTTGATCTCTTGGTTGAGAATCGGAATGGGAAGAGTTATTCCATGATTGTGAACAATCTCTTACCACCCATCTCTGTGGAAGGCGGTTCAAAAAAAAAAAAAAAGAAGTCAAAACTAATACAGTTCTTATCTCATGTAGGAAAAAAGCAGAAAACTCACCATAGGACTAACTCGGGTTGAAAAATACTGCAAAGTAGGCCAAGCGCAGTGGCTCACACCTAAAATCTCAGCACTATGGGAAGCCGAGGCAGGTGGATACCATGAGCTCAGGAGTTTGAGACCAGCCTGAGCAAGACTGAGACCCCCATCTCCAACTAAAAACAGGAAAACTAGCCTATAGTCCCAGACACCCAGGAAGCTGAGGCAGGAGGACTGTTTGAGCCCAAGAATTTGAGGTTGCTGTGAGCTATGATGCTACTGTCTCCAAAAAAAAAAAAAAAACACCAGTGCAAAGAAAAAAGTAAAGGCTTCCTATGACACTGAAACAGATCCTAGTGAAGGACTGATGAATATGCTAAAGAAAATTTATGAAGATGGAAGTGGTGCTACGAAGCAAACCATTAATAAAGCCTTGACGGAATCAACAGAAAAGCAAGCTAAAGAGATACAGAATTTTGAGAATTTATAAAGTGCAAAATCCAACAGGAACTGGGATGTGGAAACACTGATGTTTCCAGTAAGGAAATGTTGGTGAGCTGCAAATATAAATTTATGAGATAACCGTTTATACAACCTTCTTCTAAGTAAAGGCAATGAATTCTCCATTTCCTACTGGAGGATTTATTTAAATAAAATATACTTATTAAACCTTAAAAAATCACTACTTTCATGGAATTTATATTTTTATCAGAATGTTTTAGATAAGAAATCAAGGGAAGTCTCATTGAGAAGGCAACATTTAAGAAAAATTAAGCTTAAGCCCAAGAGTTGGAGGTTGCTGTGAACTGTAATGCCGCGGCACTCTACCCAGGGCGACAGCCTCAAAAAAGGAAAAAAAAATTAAAATGACATAAGGAAGCTACATGCAGGTATCCGGAGGGAAGAGCTTCCCTGACATAGAGAACACCAAGGTTGTAAGATGGGAAAATGCATGACATGCTCCAGGAAGACAAAAAAACTGAAATGATTAGAGCAGGGTTCAACCCTTTTTAATCTCACAGCACACTCAAACCTTAGTTAAACTTCAGTGGCACACTTAAACTATGTTGATCTGAAAAAAGAATTTAAAAAAACAAAAAAGAATATACTCACTGTGCCCTTAACTTCTTTCAAAAATAATTAATGATCTTTAAAAATTTTTGTGGCACACCAGTATGCCACAGCATACCAGTTAAAAATCACTGACTTAAGTGAGCATTAAGAATGGGGAGGGACTAGTAGAAAATCGGGTCAGAGAGGGCATGAGAAGCTAGATCATCTATAGCCTTAAGATCCAAAAAAGGATTCTGGCTTCTATGAAATGAAATGGGAAGCTATAGGTTTCTAAGCAAAAAAGCCAAATCATCTAACTTAACTTGTTAATAGGATGACTGGGGCGGCCACCTAGAAAACAGAATAAAAGGGGATACGGACAGATCTGACCAGAAAAGAGGATAATGTCCACCACAAATTCAACTTCTCCATGATAGCCAGTCCCATATTATGAAATACAATAAAAAATCAAGTGAAACCTAAATGAAGAAATCATGTTTTATTCTATACCTTTCCAAAATAATATGAAGGCTGATGAATAACTTTATGAATTAGGAAAAAAAAAAAAAACCTAAAAAGTTCAAGGCGTTGGTCTCAGGTTTCCTTTAAAAAAAAAAATCAGTGAATTTATTTCTCATATTACTAAAGTAATCTAAAGGCCACATCTTACTGTAAGTCTAAGAAATGTACTTTACTGAGAATAGTTCTTTTGCTTCATAACAAATTACAGTAAATGCTTCAAAAATTAAAGGGGAAAAAAGAAGGAAAGAAAGGAGATAATAGTATGAAAATCATGAGAAGATAGAAGGGATTAAAATTAAGAAGGGAAAAAGGTTCTACTTCTCGAACAAATGTCAGATTAGAAATTCAGATGGATACTTCATTAAAAACGATTAAAAATGGATCTCTGATAAACCAATGCTCACCATAAGCTGGAGTCACAGAGGGCTAGTCTCTAATGTTAATGAGGAACCAGAAAATAACTAAATCCAAAAACTAAATAAAAAACAGACCTGAAGCTTAGGTTTATGTCATCTGAGCGGACCAGGAAACCTCAGACTTAAAACTTAAATTAGGGTACTCCTGGATTGCCAATCCTCCAAAGATCTG